AGTGACCCAAGGCACGGAGCCAGGAACCGGACCCTCCTCCGACAACAAGGCACACCACGCCCGTACCTCAGGGCCCACCCAGAGACCCAAGGCAAGGAGAAGGGGACTGGACCCGTCTCCCACAACCAGGAACACCGTGCCAGCACCTCGGGGCCTGCCTGGCCCAGAGGCATGCAGAAGGGGACTGGACCCTCCTCCCACACCAGGTACAAAATGTCAGCACCTCAGGGCCCACCTGGGTACCTGAGACATGGAGAAGGGGACCGGACCCTCCTCCCACAACCAGGCACACTGTGCCAGTACCTCAGGGCCTGCCCAGCGACCCAGGACATGGAGAACGGGACTGGACCCCTCTCCCACAACCAGGCACACGGCACCAGTGCCTTCGGGCCTGCCCAGTGACCAGAGGCATGGAGAAGGGGACCAAACACACCCCACAACCAGGCATACCACCAGTGCCAAGGAGCATGCCAAAAACATCCCCTCCATGTGGGTGGCCCACCACAGCCACCACAATAACCATGGCTGCTGCAAAAGCAGCTAGACACCACAGCCACCACGTAGATGGTCTGCCAACCACTGGAGTGCAGTCACACAAGAAGAGTCACCAGCAGAGACAAAGAAAAGAAGAGGATGTCTCTTTCCACAAAACCCATTTCAGAGTGACAGCAGCAGCATCTGCTCTATGATAATATTGGGGGACCTGATCACATCTCTCAGCATCAGACACAACATCTAGGCAACAAGTTAACAGAGTAACCATTATTCTTTCAGAAGGAGAGAAGAAATCTAGGGCAATTAGAGGGGGGAGGGGGAGGGCATAGGGGAGGGGGAAAGGTTGGACAGGGGCATAAAGAAAAATTATGATCTGTAACAGTATATATGCTAGTAATACTGATTTAATCAACATATCTCAATGTTCAACCCCAAAAATATGTATAATCGATTTTGATTCAATGAATAAAATTAAATTAAAAGAGAAAAAAAAAGAATAGCACCATCTGGTAAGTTGTGTGTGTGTGTGTGACAATCTTAAGAAGAATAGAGGAGAAAATGTGGTAGAGTGATGGGGGTATGGGGAGGGAATCCAAATACTAAATGACCACTCTTCTGAAACATTAGGAAGAAATGGTATCAGTACCTTTGGATCCCTTCCTTTTGACCACAGATTACTTCAAATACACAACTGCCACACAGTAAATTCTGAATGTGCTATGATGCTAACCATTTTCTTCAATGTTGTGTATCTGGCACCTGAAGCCCAATACTTTTTAAAATGAACGCATGTCAGTTGCTTTTTTTAAATGATCCTAGGAAAGTAAAAGGTCTTTTGACATACAGGATAAAGGGGTTTAGATAATGAGGAGGAAACACCTAACTGGAAAAGTTCTGCTAAGAGATATAAGAGGTAGCAGTTTGAGAGAGTTGGAGGAAAGTCACTTAAATGATTAAGTTCCTAATCTTATTCTCTCTCACAAACCCAAAATAAATTTAAAATAATTTTCTAGGTGCTTGAAAACATGAATAGAAAAGCATTTTCGATTCACAAAACAAATTTAAAAGTGATACAGAAGATCCATAAGTACTTAGCACTAAAATTATAGTGACTTTATACTTCTTTAATAGTTTACAAGTTATGATATTTTTAATATGGAGGAAATCATTAAACTACTCTGGAAGATCATATTACCTTTTAGAGATATAAGTTTTAGCACTGCAGCTCAGAAGACAAATAAGAAAGATTTATTTAAGTAAAGTAGAGCTTAGGATCTCACAATTCTCTGGCCAAACTGCATGAGTCATCCAAGTGCTCCCTCCTGATTACATGATCTAGTATTCAAGAGTAAGGTGGCATATGACATGGAAGAAAAGGTAAATCCTGACTTATGCTGTTTTCAACTATAAAAAGACAGTCTGTTTCTTTATGTGAACATCATCAGTCAGATATTCTATCTTTTTATAACGCTCCCTCCTGATTACATGATCTAGTATTCAAGAGTAAGGTGGCATATGACATGGAAGAAAAAGTAAATCCTGACTTATGCTGTTTTCAACTATAAAAAGACAGTCTGTTTCTTTATGTGAACATCATCAGTCAGATATTCTATCTTTTTATAACTTCAAAATATAATTTAAAAAATAGCCTCAGTGGCCCCTTATTAGGTAACCGAGTATAGAGTCAATATAAATTTTCAAATTCAAAATTTATAAAACTTTTATTGTTCTAAATGATAAGTTACTCAGCTAAACATAGATATGAAATTCCTGATACTACAAAACAAGCCAGTAAAGATTACCATTGCTTTTACCAGGACTTGCAAAGGCAGTAGCAACTAAACAGCCAGAAACATGGTGTTATGAGGGCTAGAAACTTTGCACTTTCAAACTTAGTGGTTGTAGCAGAAAAACTGAAATAAGAAAAGCTAGCCATATTTAAAGGGGGGGAAAAACTACCCAAAAAGATAACTATTCCTTAGGAGTAAGCTTATGAACAATATATAGTAGACACTATGTAAACAGCTGATATTTTTATAATCTAGCAGCAGTGAACCCCCGAACAATTACTCATGTGTATATATACCTTAGATGCAATAAGATTATTCATTCAAAGGAGAGAAAATGATTAGATGCTCTAGAGTCAAAGTTTGTGAGAAAAAAATAAATCTACAGGTAGTAATCAGACATATTTCTATAAATGTCCTGGTCACTCTTCTAAAGTAAGTATATTATTACATTACATACTATGTCTTGATATTGTTGGCAGTTCAAATAACATCCTCATCTGTAGGTACAAAGAGAGACCGAGACTTTCTATCAGAGAGAGAACGGAAGCAAGGCCTATAACAAAGGCAGAATAAGTAACACTGTCAGAATTAATAGATACAGAGAAGAAAAGATTGCTGCCTTTGGACAATGCATTATCCTCTGCAGGTCACTGGGATGCTATAAGTACATAAGAACTAAATAAAAACTAAGAGGCCCAAACAGGACAGTATCATTTTACTGGTCAGAACAAGCCATGGCAACTAATCACAGAGAAAACTGAGGTACATTTTTCACAGACATTTTTTAAAAGGCTGGCTGAACAAAACTGTGTACAGATTAATATAACACAGGCAAGTGTTAATATTAGTTAATACGTACTCTTTTGCTGGGTTTTTTTCCCTTCAGTTCCCCACTATGAGTGCTTATTTTTCCTTTTCATGTCTATCAGTCATTTTGAAACTAGTAATTTCATTCAAATTAGACAACTTTAAGTATAAAAAATAAGCTAAATGCAAAGTCATCATTCTCTTATTCTATGCTTCCATTTACTCTAAGAATTCAGAAACAAATATCTGGATAATTTCCTGTTCTCTTAAAAAGACAATCTTCCCTCAATATTCCCTTAAGTATGTGGAACCTGTACAATAATTTTTATCACTTAACATGTGACATTATGCTTTGATTTGCCCTGTTCTTTTTTGGGGGGAGGGAGGGTAGTAGGGGTGGAGAGGGATGAATGGCTGGCCAGTATTCAGATCCAAACCCCAACCTTGGTGTTACCAGCACCACATTCTCCCAAGTGAGCTAACTGGCCAGTCCCAACTTGCCCCTTTCATGTGATGAATGACTACTTTTCAGTGTACCTGTGTCAACTCACTGTGTAAAAACCATGACAAATTAAAATATAACTGATCACAAGGAAGTATGTCCTTTGAGGTCTAACAAATTTATAAATTGTAAGTGAAAATGCAATAAAAATTAAAATAAAAGAAGATCCTTAAAGTATTTTCCCCTTAGAAACCAAAAGCAAATTACCTAAGATAAAGTAAATCGTTTTAATGTTTTAAATTTAAAAGAAAAAAAAAACCAAACCATGATTTCAAACACTCTTTTGTAGAGTTTTTTGTTGTTCTGGTACATTTATAATCTTATTACACTCTAATAAAGAAACTATGACATTAGAAATTAATTCTTTAGAATTTCCAACTATCTTAAAAGCTTACCAAGATCTCATGACTAGATACTTTAGCTAACAAAATGCACTGTGTTTCTCAGTTAATACAAAAGAATCCTTCGTTCAATAGCCTTGCGACAAATAGGACATTCACTCATGCGGTCTCCACAGAGCTGGCATGTTCCGTGGCCACAGAGGAAAATCATATTCTTCAGACGATCCAAACACACAGGGCACATTGTCTGTAATGTGAGACAACAAAGTAATAAATGCTAAGACACTTTATATTTTGAAAGTGTAACAGGACAACTCTTACATCATTTTCTTTTGTTTTAGTCAAATAATCTTTTGTTGCTTTTTTAAAATAATTTTTTAAAATTTCTAAATAGCTAAAATGTCATCCCTATAAAATAGAAATACTGGTTGTACTGTGGGGATAGTATACAAGGCACTCCATAAAATAAGCATTGTACAAAAGATGCAAACACGAAAACAAAGTAGGAAATGGATGAAAACAGCCCATTCAATCTGATTTGGATTCCCCACCTCTAGGTACTAAGCTGTTCTTGTATGAAAAAAATACTACATATCAGGCAAATTGTGGGGCAAGGAGCAGCGCAGAGATGTATCTAAGAACACTTGCTAAGCACTAGGCTAGATATGATATAATATCAGTCCTTTTATCACTCCCACTTTAAAAAGGAGGAAACTGAGGCTCAGTGGGGTTTAAAACCTGAAGGCAAGTCACAATGTGAACTCAGGCCACATGGCCTCAAAGCTCTTGCTCTTAAACATTGTGCTGTACTGCTTCACTATTAATGTAGATCCCCTGAGCTAAAAACAGCCTTCGTGACACATTAATTCATAAATGTGTATTTCATAAACTCAGAAGAATTCAGAAGTACATTATACTTTCTGCGAAAACACTCTAGGAAATCATATTTATTCACAAAACACATTTTATATTTTATATTTATAAAAGCATAATTTACCTTAATAAATCACAATACTTCATTCTTAATTATATCTTTCCCAAATAACATAGAAATGAAATAATTAAATAGGAACAGCTGGATTTATAAACTAGGCCTAAAGCCTATATGAATGACAATGTAGCTACTAACTCTGACAATACCAGAGATCACTGTAAAAAAAAAAAAAAAAGAACTGTAGTCTAAATTGTTAACCCTACCCAAAACAAACTGTCACATTTCTCTAAAAGTTTATCTACCTTTAAAGAAGCAAAGGTGTAGAAAATCACATCTTTTTGGATTTTAAAAAGCGAAACCAGCTTTTAGTATCATTAAAACACTATTGTTTCCATTAAATTTTCAAGGTCTAATAATTAATTAATAACTTTTCTTTTTCCAAAAGTAAACACATCTGCACAGCCTATGTTACTACGTTTTATTTTTTTTTAATATATCCTTAATAGCAAGTGAAATTAGTTTTTGTCTGTTAAACAGATATTAGGGTAATAGAAATACTGGAGATTCAAATGAAGGAGTTATTCAGATGTCTCCTCTGGTTTTCTTGATAACCTTAAAGGGAATCCCTGCAAGAAATCCCATCATCCTCTGAAAATGAGTTTTGTTAAACTGTTTAAATACTTTAGTGATGAAATATGGTGATTATTCTTCCTTATTTAAGAAAGAATAAATTTGTTGGGAATGCTAAACTTTGAATATAGGTGGAACTGAATTTTTCTTTTGGGATCCATTTTATCTTGTTGTTGCTTTTATTAAATACTGAGTAGATATAAAGGAGTACTTTTGTTGATATGTATAAGACGTAAAGAACAACAGAATCGACACCCAGTTTAAAGTATGGAATGCTACTCTTACTTTTGAAGCCCCTCCATAAATCATCTTCAGTCCCTTCCATTCACTCATCACTCATAACCACTATTCTGAATTTTGCATTTATTTTTCCCTTGCTTTTCTTTATGGTAGGTATATATATGGTATGCATATATATGGTATGCATATATATGGTATGCATATATATGGTATGCATATATATGGTATGCATATATATGGTATGCATATATATGGTATGCATATATATGGTATGCATATATATGGTATGCATATATATGGTATGCATATATATGGTATGCATATATATGGTATGCATATATATGGTATGCATATATATGGTATGCATATATATGGTATGCATATATATGGTATGCATATATATGGTATGCATATATATGGTATGCATATATATGGTATGCATATATATGGTATGCATATATATGGTATGCATATATATGGTATGCATATATATGGTATGCATATATATGGTATGCATATATATGGTATGCATATATATGGTATGCATATATATGGTATGCACACATTATTCCTTTCTATTAAAGTATCACATATACAGAAATGTGCATAAGTCATAAGAGTACAGTTTAATAAAAGTTCATGAACAAATCAAACTCATGTAACTGGTAATCAGATCAAAAAACTGAGCATGAATACTCTAGAAACTTCCCTCTTGCTCCTTTCCAGCTACCCCAACCAAGAAAACCACTATCCTTCACTTTTAATGCCATTTGTATGGTTTTTCCGAGTTTTTATCCCCAAATAATATCTTATTTAGTTTTATTAGATAATGACAATCTCTTTTCCAAAGCGTTTTTACTAATTTATATTCTCACCAGCAGTGTATGAATTATGGCTGCTACATATTCTGCCTAACGCTTGATACTGACAGTCTTTAACATTTTCCTCAATCTAGTAGGTGTGAAAAGGCACCTCGCTGTGGTTTTAATTTTCATTTACTGATCACTAATGTGGTTGAGCATTTTTTGTTAACTGCTCATTGTGTTTCCGATTTTGAAAAGTACCTAATTAAATCTTCTAATCAGATATTACTCATTGCAAATATTCAAATGCTACAAGTGATGCACCAATATAAACCATACTTACTATAGAAAACACTAGTCGTTTTATAGAAGAATATCAAGCACCATTCTTAGAATCATTATTTAACATGAAGAAATCACTATTACCTGCTCCTTAATGTCCTGTAACTGTTGCTGCAACTTTTGCACATCTGCATTGACATTGGTATTATCTTTGTCCTTTTGTAACACTGGAATATTTCCACTTGCTATAATATAGATTAAAAAAATTTTAGTTATTACTGTTCTGACATAATGACTTTTTATTTCTAAAGTCATTACTCTTTTGTTTACTAAAAACACAAGACTATTATTAGAATCCTCTTTAAAAATTTTCACACTTGGACAACAAATAGAAATAGCAACATACATGTTACATTCTTTCATTTATAATCTTCAAAAAGAACTAAGTTTGCACATTAATTTCTAATTTTATTTAACTCAGCCAAACAACAATCCACACGCAGACTTCTGGGTTTTCCAAGGCTCCACTTGCTTCCTTTGGCAAGTTCACAAATACATTTTATGCTAGTTTTCTCTATTTCTGTACCATACGAACTCAAGAAGGTAGCCAGCACAGGGTTTTGGCAAGTTCTGGCAGCAATAATGATCTTAAAGTAAATAAAGATCCTTAATATGAGGACCTACAAAAACTAGCCTCCTTCCTTTATGCCCAAATTTCCTTGTTTTTACTGATCTGAGATGAGGAACTCAAGAAATGCTATAATCAGTAGTCTGCAAAAATGGAGGGAAATCTTTGATTTCACTTTTCCTATTCTCTAGGTTCTTGGTCTTTTATTGCAGTTAATCTGTTGCTGGGATTTTTATTCTGCTCCATTTGTAATAAAGACAAAAGCCTTGGGTAGAAGTGCCTACACTAATGTTCTTCCTCATCTGTTCACAAAACATGTTCACAGAACAAAGAAATCAAAGAAACCATCCAGCTACTACCTAGTGCAAAGATGAAAAATTATTTTTAAACAGCTGTACTATTGCAAAGGTTAATGGTAAATCATTTTTCATCTTTCCACTTGTTCACTGGGTTATGCTTCAGTTTACCTACAGTTACTCTGTCTCAAATAATTACTATTCCATAAAATACTTAAACAAATTAGGTAAACCTGCTACATAAAGGTATCAGGTTAATACTTTTGTAAACTGAAAAATATAATTTGTAATACAACAACCTCCCCATGCCCCCTACAAGATACACTAAACTTTATCTTAAAAATAGAGAGCAAGTTTTCTTAAAGCAAGAATACAATATTCTTTATGCCATACATGGAGGTTTTTTTTAAAAAAAGACTAATGTTTAATGTTCTATAACCATACCACAAACTAGAAAAATAGAACAATTTTAGGCAGTTTTCTTAAAGCAAGAATACAATATTCTTTATGCCATACATGGAGGTTTTTTTTAAAAAAGACTAATGTTTAATGTTCTATAACCATACCACAAACTAGAAAAATAGAAGAATTTTAGGTGTTTTTTTTAAAAAAAGACTAATGTTTAATGTTCTATAACCATACCACAAACTAGAAAAATAGAACAATTTTAGGCTTCTTGTAACAAAAGCATCAGAAAACCATCCCTGTTACTCTGTCAATCCAAGTCACATGTCTTATTTTTACAAGGCAACATTACATTATAAATGAGAAGAGATGTTCACACAAGTCCCAACAAGAAAGTAAAATAAGAAAATGCTTAAGAAAATTCACTCACAGATATCATCTGAGGCATCTTCTGAGCTTTTCCCTCCACAGCACATAATGAAAGGCACTCTTCGTTCAACTACTGCCCGACATTGCACGCACTTTTTCATCAAGCTAGCACAGTCTGGCAAACAGTAACAGAATTCTTACAAGAGAGAACATGCCTAAGAGTGCAGCCTTTCTCTGCTAATTCTTATGACTTAAACTTCATACTTAGATAAACATTAAATGAGTTATATCAATATACAATTCTATCTCCTTAAAATGTTATCAACCTAAGAATGAGTATTCTGTATTGGTAGCCTCTAGAACAGAGAGCCCATCATTATGAAAACAATGACATTTTTTAATAAGTTGAATAAATTGTGAAATTAAAAAAAAATAGGTAACAGTAAATATTTCAAGATCTTAAGGCTTAAGAATAAAGATGAGAGATACTCTTGACAAATTTTAACTAATACTAGAATCATAAGGTTGGTTACATGACAATTTACTAAAAATATTTTCCATTGTAAATAGCTTGTCTCTAAAATTCCTAAAATATGTTGAATAATTTTCTTCCTTCTTCTTCTGTCAAATTTATGCAATGTAACAAGGAAACTGCCTACTGACTACTTTTTAAAAGTAGCAGTTCAGGAAAATAAACATTTTTCATAATAGATTATTTTTCTAATAGGTAATTTGAAAAAATTATTAGCTACATTTCAGTAAGATGGTTTCCCATTCCAAGAAAAAGTATCCAGGCACAACTGTATGTTGTGAATTATTAATACTACCTTACATCTAAACCTGTTAATCATAAAACAATACACAGCAATTGAACATGCTCTTTCTCACCGGCACGTATTATGAAAGTACACCCTACACCTTAGCCTATGTACCAAGTGTCCTTTACATTGTTCTTCACTTCAAAAACAGGAAAAATAATGAAAACCATGACAGGATAAACAGAAATAACTTATGACAAAACACTAAACCACTGCTATGGACAGGGTAGGCTGTCCTAATAGCTACCTACACTGTTGGAAAAATCATCATCAAGGTCGACTTTATGCCGAAGCCTAAATATAAATGGGTCTGATGCTTAGCTACGTAAGATGCACTAGGCAGGAGCTAATGCTAGTAGAAATCCAGTTTGGGATTTGTCCTTAAGGGCAGATTTTTTTTTTTTTAATTTAAAAGATTAATTTAATTTTCTCAATACATAACATATGACCATAATTATCTGAAATTCTTATAATTTTTTTGTGAGCTAATGCTAGTAGAAATCCAGTTTGGGATTTGTCCTTAAGGGCAGATTTTTTTTTTTTTTTAATTTAAAAGATTAATTTAATTTTCTCAATACATAACATATAACCATAATTATCTGAAATTCTTATAATTTTTTTGTTTTTTTTTTACTTTGTGTGTGTGTGGTGGGCTGGTATGGGGATCTGAACCCATGAACTTGGGGTTATATGGCTGCACTCTAGACAACTGAGCTGACCAGCCAGCCCCCAAATTCTTATAACTGTTAAGTTAGGTTGTTATACTGTTTCTTCAAAATCTTTCCTCAGCTCCTCCAAAAGGGACATAATCCTCCCTTCTTTGACCTGCCAGGGCACTCTATACCCTTCAGGGCTCCAACACTCTGCATAACATTACTGTGATGTGGGTACTGGACACTCAGGAAAGGGATATTTTCCCCACCTCACTTTCATCTTCTCTAGCAAATAAATGTTTAAGAACATGTCTGTAGGGCTGGCCCGGTGGCGCACTCAGTAGAGTGCGGCGCTTCGGAGTGCGGCGGTGCTCCTGCCAGGTTCGGATCCCATATACAGACCGGTATGCTCACTGGTTGAGCGCGGTGCGGGCGTGACACCGAGGGTTGCGATCCCGTTGCCGGTCGCGGTACGGACGCAACACTGAGCGTTTTGATCCCGTTACCGATCACGAAAAAAGACAAAAAGGAAAAAAAAAAAAAAGAACATGTCTATAAAATGAAAACCATCTACTTCTTAGGATTGTACTGAAGATAAATGAGGAAACACTCAAAAAGAGATTAAAATGCCTGGTATGGAGATAAGAGATCAACAAAAGTTAGCCATTGCTCTTGTCACATTTTAAAGCAAAGACCATGTACAAACTTCGAGAGCTCCTAGGGAAAATATTACATTAAAGCTCTAGAATCTTTTAGAACGTGGTGCTAATGACACCAAGATCCAGGGTTTGATCACTGTGCCAGCCAATCACCAAAAAAGGGGGGGGGGCCTCTAGAATCTGTGTTATCAACTAACAGTTACAATCATCTTTCAAGTCTCATGTAGGTATCAGTTTAGTCAATGATAGCAGTCAGCAAACTATGGCCAAATCTGACCTGTCAGCTGTTTTTGTAAATAAAATTTTACAAAATTTTATGCCCATTCATTTCATATTTCCGTGGCTGTTTTTGCACTACAATGGCAAAGTTGAGTAGCTGGAGAGAGTTGAGTGGTTACTACAGAAACTATGTGGCCTACAAAGCCAAAAAAATTTACTATTTGACCCTTTACAAAAAAAGTCTGCCAACCTCTGGTCTATGAAAAAACTTAAGTAACAGCCCTTTTTACTTAAAACAGATTCTCTTCCTATATGCCCTTTTGACAGTTGATAATAGCCATTCAACCAGTCCTTAGTAAAAAGAAACAGTTACTTGAGGCAGAATGTTACAGTAGAAAACCTTGACCCTTCCTTTAGTTGACTAGCTGTCTATCAGAATGAAAACACCAAGGCTTAAAGCAAATCTATGCCAATGAGATTAAACTATCATATAATCTGTATATTATTCTAGTCAGATAGTATATTAAAAATCAACACCTGCTGACTGAACTATTTTATAACAGGAAACACCATGCTCTACATTGGACCCAATTAAATAAGATAAAAGTTGTTAAACTTGTTTAAAATCCTTCATTTACAAAATGAAAAAAAGCAAAGGGAAGAGCAGAATATTAAACAGTGTGAACTTGAAAAGAATAAGGGGTATAAAAAGCAAAGGCCTTCAAGAGAATATGTTTACGAGAATTTTAAAACATCTCTTCAACTTTAATATTGTCCTCACAAAGAAAAGTTTTCTATAAACTCTCTTGACATAAGGTTAATGGAAGGCCAGAAATTATAGCCCCAAAAGGTTGCTGTGGGTTCTTCATTAGTGGGGAAAATATGCAGGAGAGGCAATACTAAGGTGAAGACAAATGAAGATGTGCTAATTTTAAATACAAAATAAGACTAGACTAAATGTTTCAATATCCATTTTTGTAAACAAATTTCTATCATGTGTGAAAAGAGATCATTTATAGTAATATAACTGAAATCAAAAGCCAAGCTGATAGAATATGGCATATTCAGTCTTCTTGAATGCTCAGAAGCATGAAGGAAAACAGCATTCTAGAACAGAGAAAGAAATGGAAGGTACTAGAGGCCCCCCAACTTTTTTGTTTGTTATCCAAAAAACGAAACCTTGAAGATATAATTTTTGTTTCATTTTCTATTTTTATAATAATACTGAGGAAGTTTTGTATAGGCTACTTACTCTCACAAGCACACATGTGTCCACAAGGCTGAAAAAGAACAGCTGCTTTCTTGTCAGAGCATACCACACATTCTTCAATCTACAGAAAAGAGGGTATACAGCACAACGTGAAGATTTACAGGTAAATCTAGTACTCTAAGAGTTCCACATATATCCACGTGTATTTCCTCTATAAGGGAATACTCTAGGCACAGAGAAACTTAGCACATCTGCCCTCTGCCTACTACTCTTCTGGTTGCTCATTTTCACATCTTTAGATGCCCTAGCTTAAACAGGCACTGTTTCCAAATTAGTCTCCCTACCTGTCCCAAAGGATCGTATAGAACAACTCTATTTCCTCTGAGGTCAGGGAGACCAGGCTAGACTTCAATTTTGTTTTTTTCAAAAACTGCTTTTGAGAGGAAATGAAAAAGACAATGAATAAAGAAATAAAATAAATAAATGACAGATATCTAATATTAATAAAAATCTTGCCACTTTGGCCAAATTGCTAAAGTCTAAGAGGGACTACTCTGTTTGCTTACATTTAAGGAATTCTACCTAACAGCACCCTTTTCCAGTACTTGGTCAATTCCCGTGTCAGCTGGAGCTCAAAGCCTTTGGCTATTCTTTCTCTCTAAAGTCAGTCTTCCACAACCATTCATGACTCCCTCAATTTTACCTCCTCTTCATCTCCACTGAATCTGAGTTTTCAGTGTGTAATTATTAACAACCTTGGCTCTGGCTTCCTTTATCACCACCCCACTACCCTAGGCTTCACATTACCTTTCACTTATTCTCATCTCTTGTGTCATTTAATATTACTGTACAAAAATGGTGACCGCCACTTACCCATAACATCACCTAAACAACCAAATACTGCATGCTCTATCCCTCTCTCTATGGACTTTCCCAATTTACACCTCAGAATGTACACAGAATTTATAAAGTTGTAGTAACAGTAGGAAGCAATAATACATGGTTGCTCAGGACCTTGATATTCCTGGATTCAAATTCTACCTCCAATACTAACAAATTACCTAACATTGTTGAGATGCAGCTTTTTTTTTTTAATCTGAACAATAAAGAGGAATCCTTCACGGGGTGATAAAGAGTAAATCAGATATTATGTGTAAAGTGTCTAGTTCAATGTGTAATATAAAATCAGTGCCCAATACATGACAATTCTGATGTGCTGGTTTTTAAAATGATTTCCAATGTATTTGTCTGTGTATCTGAATTATTGTTAAAGAGTTTAAAATAATACAGCAAATTGATCTAACAACCATTTAACTTACCCGTTTCTCTATTATTAAAAAAAAAAATCTTTGTAACCACAACTTTTTCCCCCTTCTGGATTATTGCCTCAGGTTATATTCTCCCAGGAGTGGAAATTACTAAATCAAAGCATGCTGTGGTAATGGTTTGTATATAAAGTCAGGATGGGCTCCCACCCTCCAGCAGTGTTTACAGAGAGCCATTTCCCACTTTCCTTGCTAGCATTTCTTAAAAACTTTTCTTCATTGAAGATGTTCATTATCCTTTAACCACTTGGGGTCACTATTTCTTTACAGTCAAAGGCTCTGCAACCAATCTGGCAAATCCATTGGGGGGTATGTTAGTTTTTGTACCTTTCTACAAGTTTGAAAATTTCATAATAAAGAAAAAAAACTGCAAGCCTATTAATTCTTGGAATGACTTAAGGAGGTCTGAAAAGGAATGACAGCATATTTTTTCCTCTCTACCTCCTTGTTCCATCAACCCTCACCTTGTAAATACTGTTCTTAATTTTGTCTATGCATCATAACACAGTGGAAAGAATAGGGGCTTTAGAACCAAGACATCTGCGTTCAAGAACAAGCTGTTAGTGAATTTCCTGAGCTTCAGTTTTTCCAATTTTAAATACCATAGTTGGACTAAATGACCATTTAGCTCTATTTCATATCTGAAACTCTGCTTTTGACAACCTGGGGCTCTAAACTCCCTATCCACTTTACATCTCTCTCTCTTTTTTTTTTTTAGTGGCTGGCAGGTACAGGGATCTGAACCTGTGTACATCAATCCTAAAGCACCTACAACACCCTTATATGGCAGAGTAGCTTTTAATCCTAAATCACAGTTTGCCAATAAATTACAAATTTTTAGCAGGTAATTATCATATGCATCTTTGTCTTGACTACAAAACAGGTGCTCAATAAAGGTTTGTTGAAATAGGGCTTAATCAAACAAAAAGTTTCAAGTACAACAGCAGAATACACAGACCAATCTAAAAACAAGAGAATGGCTTAAATTTTTGTTTTTTTTTGTATTCTTTCCCACACTGTTACTTTGTAAGCAGGTACCTAAAGCAAATTATAAATACCAAGCAGAATGATCCGCATTAATTTTTTAAGCAAGGTTAACACTGACTTAATACATATAAGATGCCAACATGGTGCCTGGCATACAATAAGTGCTGTTAGTTCACTCTTCTCGCCTTAATAAACGGATTAAGCTGCAACGTACATACTAGGCCTCCAGTATCTCTTATCAAAAATAACTAATTTGTGCTTTTTCCCATACCAAAACCTCTACCAAAAGATCATAAAAACTATCTAGGCTTAGAAGGTTGAAAATGTAAGAAACATTGGCAAGGTAACATTCTTTTTTTTTTTTTTAAAGATGACTGGTAAGGGGATCTTAACTCTTGACTTGGTGCTGTCAGCACCACGCTCACCCAGTGAGCCAACCGGCCATCCCTATATGGAATCCAAACCCATGGTCTTGGTGTTATCAGTACCACACTCTCCCGAGTGAGCCACGGGCCGGCCCCAAGGTAACACCCTTTAAGTCACCACCAGCTAATTCATTATGACAATTAGTACCAGCTCCTTTGTAATTAATGATGGTTAATAAGTAGCTCAGAAAATAATAAGAGAAATGAAGAGAATAAAAAGAGGGGAATGGTAAAAAAGAGTATAAACTTCATAAATGAAACCAAACAAAAACCAACATTTTTGTTTGTTTGTTTATACTACTCACCCTGAAAGAAACATTTGTAAGAGACTTAAATCTCCCTTTATACTCTGTCTTTCTCTCGCTCTCAAGTTTGGAAAAACTCAAAAGGAAAATCAAATATTTCAGTAAACCACAATGAGTAAAATGGTACAGTTATAAATAAAAGTTACATGGAAAAAGAATGAAACCAGAATCCCAGAAAAAAACAATACTTCTCAAACAGAAAAAGAAGTCAGAACAGGTAAAAAGTTCGGAGTGGATAAAGAATTTGGCCATCACTAAGTACAGGAGCACAGGACTTTATTTGCCTCCTGAACATAATACAAATTGCATGGCATCATCTGTGAAGTTTTCTTACCGAAAATGTTAAGCTGACTCTAACCAGCCATTAGATCTAACACAGAAGACAGAGAGAAACACAGAGAAAACAGGCTGGAGAAACAAGTTAACCAATACCAGGATAAAAGAATTAAACAGATCCAGAATGTGTGACATTCTACCAAAAAAATAAACTAGTCTTTTACAAAAAGATAAATACAAAATAGTCCATGAACTCAAAAAAGAGGTGCAATACACAAGTAAATACAATACGAAGTACAATTAAATATATCTTTAGATTATATGAGGCTTTAAAAGCAAAATAACAGAAAACTTTTAACTATTAAACTTTAGGAATACTTTATAAAGAAGGAAACGCATAGGGCTAAAAGAATTTCTGAGAGTAAAAACAGTATATAGGTCAAATTCAGATAACAATAAATTTGGCAAAATAAGTGCATTAATAAGACAAGTCTGTATACCGGCAATAAATTCAGAAATTCTGAATTAATCTCTTGATAAATGTATAAACTGTATATTCCTATATTTAAATCATTGCTTGGAAGAAAAAAAATTAAACACATGACATCATATAATCTTATTTATCATTAATTATAGTCTAAAAGAACTTCCTAAAATGATAAAATACTATATTAAAAATGTATTACCTTTGTCCTGGATTGAACTTGTTCTTTACATATGAGGCATTTCTTGACTCGTGGAGAACATAAAGAACAGGTAGCAATATGTCCACATGGGCCAAAAAGAGTATCTCTCTTCATATCTGAGCACACCATACACTCTTCTAGGGTTTCAGAATCATTACTAATCATAGAAGGGCTCCGAGAACCCACTTGACCACTAAAAAAATATTCCAAATCAAGCCTATCAAAATATTTCTACTACAAATTCATTAATTAAAATGTTTTTAAAAACATCTAGAGCATCATTAGTATACATAAAAACTATAGTCATGTTAAAAATTTAAGCTTTAACATCGGTATGTTAAACAATGTATACTATATTTTTCTATTTATATATATCTTTGCATCTTTATGTACTTCTAGTGCTGTTCAAACTTCAAATTGAACAAATCCAATGGAAAAGGGTGAATCTTCTAACAAAGAAATCAAAACACTAGTAAAAGAAAATTTAACACAAACAAAATTTAATTCAGAACCTGTTCTTCCTATGTAATTGTAGGACAAGCAGAGGAAGGCATAGGAATAAAACAAAAATCCTAACTAGCGACCATGTTAGTTATCCTAACTAAGAACAGAATGAAGCATCATCACAGTATATAAGAGTTAGGGCACTTTGGAAAATATGACTTCAGCCCCTGTTCTGACATTTCTTTAAGTGTATCATTAAGAAGCATAAATTCTACTTCAGAGAGAATGCATCTATAAATATACAGATACAAGGCACAGAAATACATGACCAACTACAGTTACCACAATCTTCAGAAACTCATGAACACATGCACGTGCATGCATGCACACACACACAGAGGTTCCATCTTAGACCCCACTGTTAAAAGTTATTACTGCAATAATTATTGTGCCTTTTATCTACATATTTATAGTTGCATTCTGTCTTTCTGTAATAGGATTTTATGCTCCTTAAGAATACACTTAAAGAAATGTGTATACCTCATTATATTAATTTCACTTATAACACAGTTCTATGTATGGATTCCAAAGAGATACCATTTTATCACTACACATAAATTATGAGAGGTAAGAGAACACAAAGGTCAAGGGACAGCTACCAAAATATTCAGTGACAAGAACCAGGTATAAAGGGCAATAACATTTCCACAGCACTGTTTGTATGAAAAAGTAATAAGTTGTGTACCTTTTTGTATGTCTACAATATCTCTTAATAACAAAATTAGTTATATCATAAATAATAAATAAAATCAATGACATTTTACTTCATTAAAAAAGACAAACGTGAACAAGTAATAAGTTGTGTACCTTTTTGTATGTCTACAATATCTCTTAATAACAAAATTAGTTATGTCATAAATAATAAATAAAATCAATGACATTTTACTTCATTAAAAAAGACAAACGTGAACTGATTGATCATCTTTAGAGAAAACACCACCAGGAATTGATTCATTCATTTGTTCATTCTGTCAATCATTCACTGAGAGTTATTGAATGCTTGTCAGGTACTGTGCAAGGTGCTAGATTTATTACAAAGTTTGTGTGAGATATACCCTGTTCATGAAGTGTAAACTGCCTCTCAAGAATATTCTATTAAATTTTAAATACATATAACATTAATCACAGCAATTTTACCAGTCTGACTTTTTCTTATAGATAAATTCCTCTGACACATAGAAGTACTAGGAGATCAGACTAGTTTAGAAAAAGTTCTTAGAACTTACTATACGCAAAAGCATTGCACTTAATAATGTGGGGAGCATGAAATAAGAGACATGCTGCCTGCAGGAAAACTTTTCAAGGAAAAAAGGGTCAACACAAAGATTAGGAACTGCAAAGACAAAGATATTTTCAAGTAGTCAAGTCCACCAGTATGAAACCACATGATACATTATGAATAGAACATTAAGTTTTATGATAATAATAAATAGTACAAACCTGACTTTTTCCTTATGACACTTAGCAAGTGCTTTGCAGAGACTTGGATCAGGACACAGATCAAGTGGTGACTGACCCTTCTTATTTCGAATGCTAAGGTCAGCCCCATTGGCTGCCAAGAAACAGGCAATAGATGCTGCACTCTTCTTCTCTGCCCCCTGGGTACCAAGTCCCATTATCAACTGAAATCAAGTGAAGAGAGTCATGATTTTCCCTTTAGGAATCTGCTATCAATCATTACCATGAAACAGACTTAGAATAATTAAACAACTTTGAAAAAAAGAAGAAAATGGGAGGACTTATACTACTTGCCTTAACAGTTATTATAAAGCTACAGTAATCAAGACAGTGGGGCTGGCATAACATACCTCTAAAAACATAGACCAACAGAACAAAATACAGGATCCAGAAAGAGATCTTCACATATAAGGTTAATTGATTTCACATAAAGATACACAGGACCATTTCCAGCACCATTTGTTGAGAAGACTGTCTTTTTAACAAATGATGCCGGAACAGCTGGATATCTACAAGCAAGAAAATGAACTTTGATCCATATATCATACTATATATATAAATTAACTCAGAATGAATCACAGACCTAAACGTAACTGCTAAAACTTTATAAACTTGTAGTACAAAACGTAAGAGAAAACTTTAGTGACCTTGGGTTTGGCAAAGATTTCTCAGACAGGACACAAAAAAACTGACAAATTAGACTTCATCAAAACTAAGACTTGTGCTCTTCCAAAAACACTGTTAAAAGAATGAAATGACAAGGCACAGACTGGGAGAATATATGTACATATCACATATCTGATAAAGAATTTATATTCAGATTACATGAAGAACTCTCAAAACCTAATAATAAACCTAATAATAAGCTTAATAATAAAAAAACACAAAGACCTCAACAAAATAATGAACAAAAGATTTGAGCAGACACTTCATCAAATACATGTGGTAACAAACAAGCATATGAAAAGATACTTAATATCACTGGTCATTAGGGAAATGCAAGCTAAACAACAAGATACCTATTTGAATGGTTAAAGTTAAAAAGAAGAACCAAACAATTTTTGATAAGAATATAGTTAGTACTGACTAGTATTTAGTTCATAAACTAAATTTCTAAGTTGGTAGCTCTGATAAAATACTTTATCTGATACAGATTATATTAGCGGTAAATATAAGATCGTACATTAAAAGATACTTCTATGGGTACTGAATGAAAGATTATCTTTACTCACTGTGTTTTTGGATGGCTCCCAGGCAGCATCCACCTTCCCCACATCTTGCATATCTTGTAGCTGCCTTAGCTGAGACAAAGTGTGATGCCTCAGAGCTTCATGCAAAGGAGTATCTCCATCTTTATCCTGAATATCCAGTTTGGCACCTGCTCGGACCAAAAGCTAAAAGAGAAAGACATCTCATTTTGGTAAAGTATCCATACCCATAAGAAGCTACAACATATCTAAAGTAACAGAGAGCCTGGACCTACTGAAGGGGTTACCACTAAAGCTACAAGATTTTTGGGGGGGGGGGTCCGAGGGGGTGTATTTGGCTGATACAGGGATCAAACCTTGAACCTTGGTGTTATCAGCATCATGTTTTAACCAACTGAACTAACTGGCCAGCCCCCTTGGGCTAATGATTTTATGCCTTTGCTTTCTACTATTCTATACCTCTTGTGGCTCCTTACAAAGAGTGATGTATTCTGGTTATTCAAGTATATTAAATTAGAAAAAAAAAATAGAAATGAGAATCAACATCTACTCTAAGATGACAACAACTGGGGGAAATTTGGGACTTTTTCCTCCTTTTAATTTTAGACATGTGAGTAGAGATATTTTGAGCATTTCTACCAGGACCAAATCATAACGATCAAAATTCTTCTACTATTTAAAGGAATAAGCAAAAGTTATTATTGATTCCATTTTCTTTCAATTTTCTCCAAATGTATGATCATGAGGAAAGTCGAAATATCATGTATGATAAATGAAGACTTTTTAAGCAAGAGGAATTTCAAGTAACAATAAATATGAATAGTGTTTGCTAAACTAAAACCTCTTAGATAAAATGCATAATTGACATATATCAATAGATGATTTAACCATTAAGTATATATTTTTTTTCAGATGATGAGTGGTAAGGGGATCATAACCCTTGACTTGGTGTTGTCAGCACCATGCTCTCACAAGTGAGCCAACTGGCCATCCCTATACAGGGATACGAACCCCTGGCCTTGGTGTTATCAGCACCACATTCTCCCAAGTGAGCCACGGGCCGGCCCTCATTAAGTATAAGTTTATTTGAGACTTTGCTTATGGTGCTTTAACAATTTTCCTAATTCTTTCTACACATACTATCAAACAGCTTTAGATAAATACTACCTACAGAAACCAGTCTCAAGCATATCGTCTTACCCGTCTTGGCAAATTATATTTTGTTTTCTTTTCTTTGTTCCAAAAAAGATTACACACAATGTCACTCTAGGACAATATTTCTCAAATTTGAGCATGCATGAGAATTACCTGGAGGGTTTGTTAAACCAAAAATTGCCAGTTCTCACCCCTAAAGGTTCTGATTCACTTGGTCTGAGGTAGTGCCCAAGAATTAACTTTTCTGCCAACTTCCTGGGTGATGCTAATACTGCTGGTTCAACCTCCAAACTTTAAGAATCTCTACAAAAATATTCAAACCAATACTCATTCAAATATTTTGTTTGAAATCACCAGATTAATAAAATACATTTCAGCTCTTTGGAATTTGCAACAGCAAATGTCCAGCCAAAAGTTTTAATTTGTAGTTTACTTTCAATTATACAAATTAAGAGGGAATGCACTTTTTAAAACTGATTTATATATTACTTTGAAATTTTTCATTTAATATTCCAAGAATTCATAAATCTGGCAACAAAATTATAAAGACTCTGAATATCAGAATTTTAAGATTTTCACTATTAGAAATTAAAATTCTAGGGCCGGCCCCGTGGCTCACTCGGGAGAGTGCAGTGCTGGTAGTGCTGAGGCCACGGGTTCAGATCCTATATAGGGATGGCCGATGCGCTCACTGGCTGAGTGTGGTGCGGACCATACCGTGCCAAGGGTTGCGATCCCCTTACTGGTCAAAAAAAAAAAAAAAAAGAAATTAAAATTCTACCCAACTAATGCAAAATATTAGCCTAAAATCATAAGTTTTACATCTAACTATGTCTTTCTGAGAAATCTAACACTGTATCATTTCAGTTTCAAGAGGTTCTAAAAATCTGTCCCGTTAAATATGTTTGCAAGCTAAAGTTTATGTTAATAAATACTTTACCCTAACAATTTGGGTGTGCTGTCGTTCAACAGCAAGGTGTAGGGCAGTCTGTTGGTTCACATTCTGGATATCCAGGTTTGCATTACCCTAAACAAGAAGGACAAATTTTAAATGGTTAAAATTGGACAACAGTGAAAAACACTAGAGCTGTAATTATTCATAAGGAAAAATAACATTGGACACTGTTGACCACTTTCTCCTCCTTCAGTTGCTGTGACATTATAGGACATAATTCTTGTTCAATAGGAAAAATGATGGGGCAGCAAACTTTCTGAAATAAAACAGCAAGTTTTAAAAATTATTTTTATTATGGTGATTCCAACAATTAAAGGATAAAATACAGTACAGAGTTCAAACGCAGCTCTTTCAACCTACACTGTAGAGCAACAATGATCATTGACTCTGAACTGTAAATATTTCCTGAAAAGTATATTAGTGTGTCCACATTGAATTTAGATTTATTTTAATAACTAAACAAGTTCACTTCCACTTGCTGCATAATTAAGCTCTTCCTCATTCAGTGAAAAGAAATTTTGCTTGAGGTGAGAAAGCAATGCTTAATTAGCACACAAAACTACTCACTAAAGGGAAAGCAAAAAGTCCAACCTAGGGTCCTAAGGTAGTCAAAGGACTATATGAAGACAGCTGATGCCTAAGGACAGGGGAAAGGAGGAGCAAAACAACTGAACTTGGAGCCAGCAGACCACGATTCCAGCTCTATCACTGATAAGCTTCCTGATAAGCATTATGCCATTTCATGCCCATTTCCTCCCCTCCAAAATGGTGACAGTGCAACCTATTTCATAGGGCTAATGTGAGGATTAAGAAAAATAACATGTAAAACTGCTTAGCACCACATCTGGCATAATGAAAATTTTTTTTTAATTAAGAAAAAGCTAAAGACTCAAAAGATTAACTTTTATCATTTTGTTTAGGTCTCAGAATCATTCATGCCCTCTGATTACAATTCTCATGCCCCTGCTTGGGGTATCAGGTAGAGCTGAAATTCCAGTAATGCTATGCCATGTTCTGGGAAATGAGAGTTCTGGTTTGCTCTTATTATTTATGTTTCTTTGAGTGTGCTCATGAGGTACCTCATTCATTCAGCTTATTTCATTATCATGTCTGTTGTCATAAATGTGAACAGTGGGAGATTTTAAGTTTCCTGAGCTTCTCCATAATTTAGATTTTGCTAAGTAGTACTCATTATATGTGTGTACCACAATTTGTTTATCCAGGCACTAGTTGATGAACACTTGGCTTGCTTCCAGTATGAGGCTAATATAAACAAAGCTGCACAAACATTTAGTACAAGTATCTGCGTGGAAATGTATCTTCAATTCTCTTGGGTACATACCTAGAAGTGGGGCTGCTGGGTCATAGAGTGAACACATGCCTAACTTTGTAAGAAATCATCATTGTTTTTCAAAGTGGCTGCTTTAAAAAACAAAAGCAATTTATGTGAATTCTAATTGTTCCACATCCTAACCAACACTTGGTTCTGCTGCTAGAAGTGGGGCTGCTGGGTCATAGAGTGAACACATGCCTAACTTTGTAAGAAATCATCATCGTTTTTCAAAGTGGCTGCTTTAAAAAACAAAAGCAATTTATGTGAATTCTAATTGTTCCACATCCTAACCAACACTTGGTTCTGCTGGGTTTTTTTTTTTTTTTCGTGTCCGGCAACGGATCGCAACCCTCAGTGTCGCGCCCGTACTGGACCGGGACCGGCAACGGGATCGCA